TCCCAGCTACTCGGGAGGCTGAGGCAGGAGGATCGCTTGAGCCCAGGAGTTTGAGGTTGCTGTGAGCTAGGCTGACGCCACGGCACTCTAGCCTGGGTGACAGAGTGAGACTCTGTCTCAAAAAAAAAAAATTTTTGATTTTTAGAAAGAGAAGGACTAAAGCAGAAAACTGGGTAGAATATTTTAACTGCAAAATCCTGTTTTTCAGTATAAAATAAATTATTTTTTAGAATCATTCTTAGCAGGACCCTGTGGAAATGATAATGATTTAAAGTGCTCTTTCTTCTGTTACTTCCTATGTACCGTACAGTTTTATGAATCAAACCATGTGGATCTTCCAAGGCCTTATTTAAGTTACAAGGCCTTCGTTCTGTGTATTTCTTTCCAATGGTCCTATTTTCATTTTTTAAATTAATGTAGATATTTTCAAGTTCTAAAATACTGAAAGGCAGCTGAAAACCTGATTACCCTTATCTTTATATTTCTTCCTTCAATTAACTGTCTTATTTGAGTCTGTGAAAGACATAAATTTTCATGGTCTTATGGAAGGCATCTGAAATTTTGACATGAGCCGTCATTCGGTTTGCTTAGCCTGTTTTCAAGTATTCAGCAGCTCTTGTATGATCTCTTATTTGTTAAGAGGGTACAGTCTACAGTAAGACCATTTACCAGACCATGAGCTGTGTTTGAAAGTAGATCAAGACTGGAATAATAAATCTACTCCTCACTGACTCAGTCATCTTAAGCAAACTTACTTAAACTGAGCCTTAGCTTCCCCATCTATTAATATAAAATGTTATAATGGAGATAATGATGTATATAAATACTTAATAGGGTATATGATGAATAATAGGTACTCAGTGAACATTCTGCCCTTGCCCAGGTTAAAACAGAAAAGAAGTTAAGAAAGTTAAATTAGGAGTCTTCTAGTAAGCCCAAGTGAACATAGTAAGAGAGATAGGGTATAAAAGCACTGAGAAAAATCTTGCATTTTCCTCTCAAAGGCACATGATTAGCATAGTAGATTAAGTTCCCAGGAGCACTGGAAAAATAATAGATATTTATTCTATTAGATTAAATCTAAGAAAAGTAAATTTAATGGTATCTTTATGTCAATTGATGTTTTTATCCCACTTTCACCAATTCTCTCTTCCACAGCATTCTTGGTAAACTTTTCCTGATTCCATGAGAAAAAAAACTTCTGCAGATAATAATAAATATGAATAAAGCTGTATAATTCTAGGTTACACTCTCTCTGACACTTCCAAGCAGATTTGCAAAGACCATTAAGAACTTGAGGAGCATTATTCCCTGTCTCTCTTTGTCCTTCCCCTTGCAGTTCTAGTTTGTCTTTCTTGTTTCTGTATATAGTTGGCCTGTGAACAATATGGGTTTGAACTGGATGGGTCCACTTACACGCAGAATTTTTCAATCCAGTGGACTCTCCATACTGGCGGTTCTGCATCCACAACCAAACATGGATTGAAGATAGAGTTTTGAGTATGTGCAGATTTTGGTATCTATGGGCAGTCCTGGAGCCAATTTCCCACAGATACCAAGGGGTGACTGTACTATAATCATATGCTGAACTCCCCTCAAGAATCGAAAGTAGAGAAATTGTAGGCAGCTGTGTCCTGATGTCAGCATGCCAAACACATCAGAACTCTGCAGATGCCTGATCCTTGTCTTGTGTGTCATCTGCTCAGGGAAGCAAAAAAAAAAAAAAAAAGATTAGGCAGAACTTTGAGTTCACTGAAAGGGTGTGTCCTTCAAAATGACCTCATTACCATGTCAGGAGTGATTCTTCTCAATTATCTCCCAGCTACATCTGCTTTTTTTTTAAATTTAAAAGGCAGGATGCCTGGAATCTTCTGTTTTGACAGAGGTCAGTTGTGCATTCAAGCCTCTCTGAACGCTTTAGAATTTTGCTTGTTCTTACTAGGAAGATAGCAAATATTGACCTGTAATTGGTAAGAATACCTCTAGGAATAGAATTACAAAATGATATAATTTGAAATATCTGGGCTTCCTTACCCCCAAATGTCTCTCTACCCACAGAATACTGAAAACTTGACTAGGGGTGCCTTTTCCAAGCACTAATTGATTACTATGTGTTATTTTTCTTATCACTGTCTTCTCTTGTTGGTCACTGAGGAGTTATACATGAGAGGGGTAGATAACCTTAGAGCCTACTGCCCGGGAAAGGCAGGCTTTGGAGAGGTATCTTGGCTGGGACTCTAGAAAGTGATGGAGAAACATGAGGTTACGTGGGCAGGCAGGTGGGGGCACTACAGAAAGCAATGGTGTACAAAAATCCAGAGGAGAGAGGGTGCAAAAAAATAACTTCATTTTGTTTGCATAGTTGTAAATATGAAAGATTGACAAAAGAGGACCACTGGTATGGACATATGTATGATAAAGCTAAAGGCTCATAAGCAATTAGCAAATTAATAGCACACAGCTCCATTTATGCTTATATCTGATGAATGAACAGTTGTTAATTCAAGAGAGGCCTTTATATCCTGATTATACCTTAGAATATGAACCTTTTGCCTGAACTACAGTCCTACTATGGCAAGCAAGATATGAAATTAAATTTGGAACTTAATTTTTTTTCATGAGCACTAATAACTTTAATCAAGGCTCAAAAAAAATTTTTTTTTTTTTTGAGACAGAGTCTGGCTCTGTTGCCAAGGCTGGAGTGCTTTGGCATAATCATAGCTCACTGCAACCTTGAACTCCTGGGCTCAAGCAATCTTCCTGCCTCAGCCTCCCGAGTAGCTAGGACTACAGGTGTACGCTACAATGCCCAGCTAATTTTTAAATGTTTTGTAGAGATGAGGATCTCACTATGTTGCCCACGGTATTCTCAAACTCCTGGCTTCAGGCAGTCCTCCTGCCTTGGCCTCCCATAGTGCTAGAATTACAGGCATGAGCCACCATGCCTGGCCTCAAAATATTAAACCTTAAAACAGTTAGCTATGATAGCAGAGTTACAACAGGACTCTAACTGCAATACCTTCCTGTACTGGGAATGTATATAGTCGCTTTTGGTGTTAACAAAAACGATTCTACTAAAAATTATGGTTGGTAGTGATTCTACTAAAAGAGACTGAAAAGATTTATTTGTATGCGACCAGCAGGCTATTGCAGATTATACAGTGCAATGGGAGTTTTTGGTTTGTGGTTTCTAATTGTTATTTGCAGGTTTTGTGCTACTGTTACCTATAGCTTTGTTTTAAGAGCCAATTAAACCCTTTGAAAGTACACTCTATTTTTCTACTTATTTATTCATTCAACAGACATTTTCAGGGTACCTATTGTCACATCCTGTTAGGTATTAGAGATACCCAGATAAAACAAAATCCCTGCCCTCCAAGAGTTTAGTACATTCACAGATAATTAGGCTCCCTGCTTATCAGTGAGTATACTTCATGGCAGGGTTTCTCACCTCAGCACTTTGACATCTTGGGCCAGATTATTCTTTGTGGGAGGGTTTTTCTGAGGAGTTTTATAGTATGTTTAGCAGCTTCTCTGGCCTCTGTCCACTAGGTGCAGTAACCATACACACACAGCCCCAAGTTGTGACAATCAAAGATGTCTCTAGGCCCAGTGTGGCTCACACCTGTAGTCCTAGCACTCAAGGAGGCCGAGGCAGGAGGATTGCTTGAGGTCAGGAGTTCAAGACTAGCCTGAGCAAGAGCGAGACTCCATCTCCACTAAAAATAGAAAAATTAGCCAGGAGTGGTGGCATGGGCCTATAGTCCTAGCTACTCAGGCTGAGGCAGCAGAATTGCTTGAGCCCGGGAGTTTGAGGTTGCAGTGAGCTATCATGATGCCACTGCACTGTATCCAGGGCAACAAAGCAAGACTCAATCCCCCCCAAAAAAAATGTCTCCAACCATTGCCAGATCCCTGGGGGTAACTCCAGAATATGAACCAGACTTTATCTGTCATTGACAAAGAGCTTTGATAAATGACTTTTCAAAAATTTAATGCAAATGTAACAAAGAAAACGTAGATCTGTCAAACTGTGTTTATTACTCCACATGACTTCTCAAAGAGGAATATACAATAGTGGTACTGAATAACACCCACTAAATGTTTTATTTTTTAGCTTGGATGTCTATGAGGTCTTCTCTTTCTTAGTTACTATGTATGGGAGAATAATTGTTCGGTTTCTTAGGGACTTCACTAAAACAACAAACAACACAAGTAATTGGAGAGGGAGAGTCTACTCACAATAAAAATCTTAGTTCTTTTCTGAACTCTTTGTACAAACATTACCCTTTTCTTATTAAGAATGAAAGTATTTCATTTTCTCCAATGAGTAGCCTGGACAACTGGCATATTTGATAAATGTCTCCTGTGTTTGTTAGGCACATGACTTTGAATTTTGCTACAATACTAACTTGGACTTTTCTTCATCTTATTGCTTTTCCATAATCAGACTTATGAGGAACATTGTACAATCAAGAATTCATTTTATAGCCTTTTAAAGCTTGTCTTCCAGTAATGCCTTGCTTCTCAAAGTAGAGAGACCACTCTCCTATTGGAAAGAGCGTATTTCACTAAAAGTCCTAAAACCTGTGTTTTAGGTTCACTTTTGGAACTAACTAGCATTAAACATCCATTTAGCCTCTCTCTGTCATAATTCTTTACTTGTCATATAGATAGATACATACATAAGCTCTCTTATTTTGTTTTCCTGACAAGTACCTAAATTCCATAAATCTAGACTCTTTGCTCACACAAACTTTTGTGTATCCTTATTCTTATAGAATATCTACATTTCCGTTTCTGTGCCTGATACAGTTTTGATTCATCATGGATAATCTGTCACCAGAAGAAATTCAGCAGAGGGCTCACCAGGTTACTGATGAGGTAAATGGTTTACTTAGAATAAGTAATTAATTCTATTTCTGCTTTCACATTGGAGGGATGAGAGGGCATTCTAAGAGACCATTTTGGCCTTTTCCTAGTCCCTTTATATCAAAGAACACATTTGCCCCATAGTGCCATCACTAGCTCTTTTTTTTCCAACTCACCAAAAAACTAAATATGTGAAAACAATTTGTTTGGGTTTTTTTTGTTTGGTTTTTTTTTTTTTTAGGTAGTCATTACTTAACTGTTGCAACAAAGATACTCTATGTCTAAGTAATTCTGAACATTCTTACTTAATGATTTCCTAATGTCTGTGTAATATACTTAGATTTCTATTAATACCTTATATTAAATTTTGTGGCTCCATATAATTTTTGGACTCCCATTAACTCTACCATCCAAATTTTCTCTTAAGGAGTACCTGGAAGAAAATAACTAAAAAATAGTGGTTAACTTTCTTTGTTTTGTTTTAAAGGGAGGGATGGGCTGGCAATTTTTAAAAACAGGGTAGCATCATGAATATGGCCTTTGGTAAGTTTCTTTTTTCCTACATATTTTGGAATGCTAAAAGTCTGTATTTTTTCCTAGTCTCTGGAAAGTACAAGGAGAATCCTGGGTTTAGCCATTGAGGTAAGAAAGTGTCTAATCATTAAGTTAAATATAGAAATTTATAGGAGAGATCCTAATTCCACTAGCTGGAATTGGCATTAAAGGGTACTGTATCAATACACTTTGTTATTTAAAACGAGCAGTTGCTGAAATTGTCAAATGATACACTAATAGGCCTTTTCCATTTTTCCCTTTGACAGTATTGGCATATGACAAGGAAGATTAATTCATCATGAGTTTGTGACTTAATTATTTTGGGGGATTAATATATTAAAGTGTGTTGGTTTAAGAATATTATTTCTATCTGTAGCTCTTCTGAGAACTTTTTTCTAAATGATTCTGTCTTATTGTTTGTCAGTTCTTGTAGGTTTTGTTTCTGTTGTTTTTGGATTTTTTTGTTGTACTATTGACTTTTTTTTCCTTCTTTTAGTCTCAGGATGCAGGAATCAAGACCATCACTATGCTGGATGAACAAGGGGGTGAGTCGAAGTCATTGGCAGAAACTCTTAATTTGACTTAATGATTCCAAAAAGCCCTATCAAATGAGCCACATATAAATTTCAGCTTTTGGAAATGCATTTCCTTTGTAAGATAAGAGTGATATGTTTCCTTTTTTCTTCTGGATTAAATTATGTCATGTTCACTGCCTATTAGTGATAGGGGGCAACAATGCCCAGCTGTATACCAAGTATGTGTTAGGCCAGCATAGCTTATTATATGCATTGGTCCTGTGTACATTAGACATATGATATTCTTGCATCATCCTCAGAAATCAAGTAAAATCCTAAAATAGGTCTAGATTGAGATGAGCTGGGAAATGTTTGATTTGAGTTGACCCTGAGTAATTTGGTCTAGTTTTTATTAGTTTTGTGACAGCCCTAAGGTTTTGAGCCTATTAAATTAGAAATGCTGGGAATCTAGTCTGGTCAAAGTACACTTTACTTGATCATAAGGAATGATCTCTAAATAACCCTCACTTGCTCCTAGTGTACAAGTTTCTTAGAACAAATCTTTCTACAATAAGAGGCTAGGTGCCTCAGGATCAGTGTGTGAAAGACTGTTTTCATGTTGAACAGCTTATAATGCCTTCTGACACTGACATATTCACTCTGGTGGGTTATTGGTAGATTTGAGGTTAAAGTTTGATACTCCATCATGATAGCATTTTCTGGTTGACATTGTGAATGTAACACAAAATGTAACTTCCACAACTTATTCTTAGAACAACTAAATCGCATAGAAGAAGGCATGGACCAAATAAATAAAGACATGAGAGAGGCAGAGAAGACTTTAACAGAACTCAACAAGTGCTGTGGCCTTTGTGTTTGCCCATGTAATAGGTGAGTTGATAAATCGAGACCTTTTTAAAAGAAATAAGTAAATAAGTGAATGAGAGCACCCCTGCCCCACATCCTCCCTTCTCCCAAATAAGGTCAGAAGTATGACTGGGCCTAAATGAGGAACTTTGTTAGTTAAACTTAAGTTATTTCTCCTTCCGGCAGATCAAACTTTTCATGAAAATAGGGCGTGTTCACTGAAAACCATGGCTTAAATTTGACCAATCCTGGGATCAAGTCCCAATTTCAATTGAAAAAGTTGAGAAATATATATCTGAATGATACAGAGCAGGATGGAGTTAGTATCTTTTCCTTTCAAACAAGGAGTATTAACAAAATATATATTCTGTGGTAGGCACATGAGGGATGACCAAGGGAGTAAAGGACTTGAACCCTGTCTTCAGAACACTTAAACCATGTGGTTGTATACGAGAGAAAGAATGGCAAAAAATAAAAAATATATAATCTAGTGTTAGCTTATGTGATACCAGCTAAAGCTAGGGATACAGAACTGATAAAAGGTTGGATTAGAGAACATCGTATAGAAGAGGTAGGACATGAGTTGGGCTTTGAATAATTAGAAGGATTTGGATGAACATGGAGGAACAGTGAGGACATTTCCTATGGAAGTTTCAAACTAAAGATTAAGGAAGAGCTTGACTTAACTGAGCAACATGATTCATGTATATGAAAAGTAGGAAATAAGCTGTAGCAGTAGTGGAGGAACTTCAGTGCCAAACTAAGGAGTCAGTAGATTGGAATGGAGTATATGACTGCACACCAGGAGACTAAAACCTTTCATAATCTAGTCTGTGCGGTAAGACTTTGTCAGTGAGATTAGAGAGGAAAGTATAAATCAAAGAATTCATTTTAGATAATCTGATTGTATATAAAACATGAAGGAAGAATCAAAAACTGAACATTTGGAGTCTCTAGTAGACTAGGAAATGAAGGGTCTTCAAACCATTCCTGTATAGTGTATGAAATTATGCTTGACACAAAGGAATTCATTCTTTTTGGTGACTCCATTGTGGATATTTAAATTCTCCACTTATCCTTGAATAAACCAAACTTCGTAGTGATGATAAGTACTGTATATATTCAGACAAGATGAGGTTTGGACTAGGGCAATTAACCGTTATCTTTCCTTCTGTTAGAAGAAGCTTATCTTTGTTTTAAAAAAAGTAATTAACAAAACAACTTTGAACTTTAGCCTTGGTTGAAATAACAGTGTCTGGAGAATGAATGACTGTATTTACTGATGAAAATTTTCATTTTTAAAGAATTTAGTAGACATTAGTACTTCATCCAGTTGTCTCAGCTGGTCTGGTAAACCAAGAGTAGAGTATAAAGGCTTATAGACTCTCAGCATTTTTGCTCCTCGAGGGAGTTAGGAATGGAGGTGCTCTTGTTATATTGTCATATTTTCACATATGTGTTTTCATGTGACATTTTCTTTGCCATTTCTACTAGAGAAAATAGAGTTTAATTGCCTGTTCAACTTTAGTGTTTGTTTTGGCCATGAGAAGTTAAGATTTGATAGTGTTCTTCCTGGTCTTATCCATTGGCTCCCTATTCTAACATAAGTGTGTAGACCTGTTTAGAGCTTGATTGACTTGTTGAAATCCATATTTTAATAACTCTGACTTGTCAGTCAGGTTTAGCAGATTAAGCAAATAAGTTATAAATGCACAAGTGATTCGAGTCAAACTCTCAGCTATGTTTTGCAAACTTACTTATTGTACTTTCTCTTGTGTTCCATGTACCCTCTTGGAAGAGTGCAGAGGAGAAGGAAGTAGGTAAATTTTCTTGAGATCAGATGTTAGAAGAGCAAGAAGGTAGAACGTCCTAGAATCTAGAGCAAAGTCAGCTCTTAAGTTATGGGTTGATAAACAGAAAGAGCAGTGACTGCTAAGATGGTCTAATATCATAGAAAGTGGGAAATGGAGCTACAGAAGTGTTTATTTTATTTCTCTTTGTATATCCCAGCCAAGCAGTTGCAAGCTCTTCTTAGAAACTGGTGGGAGAGAAGGTAGAGTATGGTCCTGAAGCAGTCTTCAGCCTCTAACCTCAGAAGAACCCTTTCTCATTGGGTCAAGAAAACGCACTTCCCAAGAGATGGAATTAAGGGGCTACTGTAACAGAACAATTTTTCCCTGAAAAGGAGAGAGTAATATCCCAGTTAAAGATGTCTGATTGTAATTGCCTTTCTTCCACCTATTTCTTCTTTATATCACTGAGACCTTGGCCAGTATGATATCTCTTGTCCTCAGCTGTTTCTTATCATCTGGCCAGTGTCTGGATCATTCTAATCTTACCTACTAATCTGTGTTTCGGTTAGGCTCATCATATGAATAGCTATAAGATGAGTTTCTCGAAGACAGACATAGGATCTTAGTTCTCTTTGTATAAGGCTAGTCTGAATACTGGTAGTAGTAATAGCAACGCAGGTCCGTCCACAGTCCCTTATTTGCCATTCAGAAATCTAAAAAACTCTGAAAGCCAAGGTTCTTTTTTTCTTTTTCATAACAGTGCCACAACTCATTAGGCTACAAAATATAATCTGAACTGAAGCTATTTATAGTCTTTTATTATGACTCTTAGTGTAAATATTAATTTGTTTCACTGCAGAAATATTGATGTATTTGACATCTTGCATCCAAGGGTTTTGTATGACAGTTGTGATCCTGTATGTTAATTTAGGCTACTATTCTGAGCATTTAAATTTAATCCTTTAGCAATAATCTTCACATGAGATAGATGCTCTTATCATCATTTTACATCTGGGGAAACATGTACAAAGAGGCTACACTATCAAGTGGAAGAGGTGGAATTCAAAACCAGGCAGAGTCCTTGCTTTGACTATATGCTGCATGGTGACCCGAGCCTATAGTCCCAGCTACTCTGGAGGCAGAGGCAGGAGGATCCCTTGAGCCTAGGAGTTCTAGGTTGCAGTGAGTGATGATCACACCACTGCACTCCAGCTTGGGCAACAGAGCAAGACCCTGTCTCAAATAAGTAAATACATAGATAGAAAGAAAAAAAATGAAACTTTTTGTTGTTGCTATTGTTAAATGTATTGCTGTATAGAAAATGTCTTGAGTAGATTTGTTCTTTGATACTTCTTTTGTTCAATAGGATTAACTAATGCCAGGTCAGCAATTATTTATTTTTTATTTTATTTTATTTTTTTTGAAACAGAGTCTCACTCTGTCACACTGGCTACAGTACAGGGGCATTATCATAGCTCACTGCAACCTCAAACTCCTGGGCTCAAGTGATCCTCTCTTCTCAGTCTCCCAAAGTGCTAGGATTACAGGCATTAGCCACTGCACCCAGCCTAGCAAATCTTTTTTTTTTTATTATAAGACATGGAAATAGCTTTGCTCAAAAGAACTTTGTATGAGAAGGGAATTTTAACTACAGCTAATTCTTTCTAAAGTACTACTAGAATTTAATAACAGACTGCTGGGATTAAACTTTAAAATTGTGAATAAATGCCATTCTGTTAGCTTGCTACATTTGAATTCTAAAAGCAAAATAGCACAGATCTTTTTTTGAAATCCTTTATTTTTGACAGTGACTGATAAGTTATAATTCTAATTAACAAGAGTGTAAAAGGAGGCAAAGTTAAAATGTGAAGTCTCAGAATATGTAAGCTTTCTAATGTCCCAATTTAACCATTCTTAGATAAGGTATTCTTCCGTCTTAACTTCCCTGTCTTAAAAAGTGCCTATAAAGTCTAACATAATGACACACAGTTTGAAGACAAATTGGTATTTCTGGACCACTTAGTAGAGTTCAAAATTGACACTACAGGTTTTCTGCTATTCCAATTGTATGTCATAATGAGGTGTGAAAAATTCAGCTCTTAATGATTAAATATTGAATTATATTTCATTCAACAGTTGAATGCTTCCTCCATCCTACTCACTGGAGATATAAATATAATACAAACAAGGCATACCTCTGGTTCTGTTTTATTTATCGTTACTCTTATTTTTTATGCTTCACATGGTATCCGGATACATAACAAGTATTCCATAAATACTTTTTGATTTAATGTCCTTGAGAAACTTGTTAGCTGGTGGGAGAGTTAAACATGTAAAAGATTTTTTAAAATTACAATGCAAATAAAATATATAAGAAGTAATTAAGAGAAATTTATGATCACTAAGGAAAGAGTGAGAAAGTTTTACAACATCTCCATTAGTTTTTGCCTTCTCTCATATTAATTTTTATAAGTTTAGGAAAGAATATCATCACCCAAATATTCTGAGGAATAATGAAGTGTGCTCTGGTTTAAATAGTGTTCTTGTTTTTCTTTTTATCTAGATTCTCAGATGTTGGTGGTTTCTGTGAAACCAGGCAGGAATTTGAATGCATTATGTTTTTAAAACTCTAAACCTGCTTCTGTTCTGTTTGAGTGGCATTTACTGTTTTCTGCATTTCATTCTCTCACCTAATCTCTTCCTTTCTAATCTGCTTACTAAAAATGAAGATTTAACATCAGAAGCCGGGCTCAGTAACTGATCAAAGGGAACTTTAAGATGCAGTCTTGTGGCGCAGTTTGGGCTTCTAACCTGCTATCTAAAGGTGATGCTTCAAATGGCTTTTCTGTGCATGTGCGTGTATCTTGTGAATGGTGGAAACTGTCTCAAAAATTGTGCTGTGGTGTGTAATGTCAAGTAAATTTGTTCTTGATGGGTGCTGTCAGACAAAAGATAAACTTGACAGAAAGGATCTTAATTTATAATATCGTTGTTTGACAAATGCCTCCAATAACTGAGTTTTTTCGCTAAATAATATTTAAGAATACCAAAATAAAAATACTCCTGAGTATTTTTACTGAGTTTCCTAAGAAGTTTTAAATAGGTTGATCTTTGAGACAGCTACTGCAATCTAGTGATGATCAAAGGTAAGGGAATTCAGCCTAAATGATCTTTCTCTTCATAGGGCTTTGATTTCAGCATCCTATCCTTCATTAGATTTCCCTATTCCTT